AGAGAGAGAGAGAGAGCGAGCACTTCATTGTACCTGGTGAAGAAGTCAGCGATGCCGAACCTCTTTGGCATCATCTTGGGGTCGGAGCTGTCTGTGTGTTCGCTCAGGTCTGGCAGCTTGTCCGGTGCGCTCTGCCTGCGACCCGCTTCCATAACGTTCCGAAAGTCCTCTTCATACCCCTCGTCTCCAAAATAAAAGCCCCCATCATCACCGGGGGACAACGGGGTGGCGTCACAGCTGAGGGACACTGCGAGGTTGGGGTTAGTTCTCAAACTCTGCGGCCTGATGGGTAAACTAAGGTCACTGAAATCCTCCTCATCCTCCCTGATGTTGGGTTCAGACAGCGGGCTGTCACGCGTCCCGCTAGGTGAGGGGAGTTTGGCACTTGATCCTAGGGCGGGGGGGTCCTTGGACGGGACCGGGGCGGGGGGGCCAGGGAAGGGAGCGAGCTCTGCCGCAGCTGGTGCATCCTCACCCGGGCACTGCGCGACCAATGTCCCGCTGCAGTCGCGTTGGCTCCTCAGACAGAATCCCGACCCGGCCCCGTTTTCTTGCCCCGCACCCAGGTCGCCATGAATGTCGCTGATGGTTTCGGGGTCCGAGTCGGGCCAGTCACATGTTGCTCTCGCGGTGTTGACAATGTGCAAACCACCGTTAGCTACTTTCACTTCCTCACCTTCCACGTCGCATAAACCGAGTCTCTGGCCCAGCAACGCGGTGGAAAACACCCCTGTCTGTTTACAGTAATCCGGACTGTCAACATCCCCGTTGGGCATGTTTACGTCCGGACAGGAGGGGGCCGTCGTGGTGCAAGCGCAGTTCGGCTGGTGCTTCCCTGTGCACTGCAGCCGGTCGAGGGAGAGAGAAGTCCTGTTACAGCCGGTGACTGCGCCGCCGTCAGTCGACTCTTCTCCCGGGCTAACGTCGCCAGAATCCGGAGTTTCCCCTCCGCTCCCCCCCGCAGGGTGCTGCCGCATCTCTCGGCTCGTCTCTGCTGAAACCCGATTCAGGATCACAGCTGGACAGGAAGCTGCCGTGGTCCCTGCGAGGCCGAGCCCTCCTCCTTCTCCTTCTCCTCCTCCTCCTCCTCCCAGCCCGACCATTGTGGGCTCCTCCTGACTCAATGACTCAGTGAATCCGTTCAGGCCGCCGTGGTCGCCGCAAAGCCCCGAAATCACACAGCTGTCAGTCAACTGGCCGGGGAGGTACTTCTCCGCCGCGACCAGATCCAACATGATCTCCCTCTGGTGTGGGGGCGGCTGTACCGACGCGTCTCTGTTTACATTCCTCCCGTTACCGGTCACATAAATATGACCCTTCCCAGCTTCCTGACACCCGCTGCCACCGGCTAGCAGCGCTGTGCTGTGGTCTTTGAGTGCGATGTAAGATTTAAGAGCCGCTTTCCCCCCCCCTCCTCCTCCTCCTCCTCCTCCTCCTCTCCCTTCTTCGTTCTCGTTCAAGTCGACGGCAAACGACTCTCCGTTCTCCTCCGTGGTTTCCATGACCACTCAGTCCGCCAAGCGAGCCTCGGCCCCGGGCGTAAAATCCTGCAACGAGTCCTGCCCCGTCGGCCGAGCTCCGCAGCAGCAGCAGGTTTTGTTGTTCTTGGAGGAAGGGGCTACCATTTTAGCCAGGGATACTTCAGCGTTACCTGACACCCACCGGATGTAACATGATCCTCTCTGGTGTATAGAACAATAATATTTACTCCGTCTTTCGAAGTTAACGTCGCCGCCGGGCAGAAGATTAATTAAATCCCTCAGCGTTTGGCTGCAGCAGCGGCATTCCGGCCACAGTCCAGCGCCATCTTGAAAATACCCCAACAATGACGTCATGCCCCCAAACTCGCTCGCTGTGTTTTGATTCGCTGAAGAGTTACAGCGACGTTTACTGGTCACTCCGTGTAACTGCAGCCGGGATTCCTCACCCCGTTGACCCCGTAAATAACCACAGCCGTGATGAAGGTAAAAGTTGCAACGCGACATGTACAAAAATCACATGATTACAAGTAAAAGTCATGCATTCAAATGGAATTAATCCCCACTTTTCACACAGGTTAGTGCAATTAAAAGTAATTTACTGCTGACTGACAAGCCGATAAAACATTAAGAGAGTTTAAAAATGTATCATATTTTGGGAGCTCATTATACAGCTCTGGAAAAAATGTATAAAACACTGCAAAATGATCAGTTTCTCTGGTTTTAATATTTATAGGTATGTGTTTGAGTAAAATGAACATTTTAGTTTTATTCTATAAACTACTGACAACATTTCTCCCAAATTCCATTCATTCATTTGCAGAAAATGACAACTGGTCAAAATAGCGAAAAAGATGCAGTGTTTTCAGACCTCGAAAAAAAGAAAACAAGTTAGTAAAAAAACAAGTTAGTACTCATTTTTAAGCGAAACAATACAAATGTTTTAACTTAGGAAGAGTTCAGAAATCAATATTTGGTGGAATAACCCTGATTTTTAATCACAGCTTTCATGCTTCTTGGCATGCTCTCCATCAGTCTTTCACATTGCTGTTGGGGGACTTAATGCCACTCCTGGCGCAAATGTTCAAAATGTCTCTTAATTTTTTTCAGAGCTGTATTTGCTTTTTATATGAAGAAACTACAAACTCAAGTTGTCAAAGTACAGAACTTGCTCTTAAAATAAAAGGTCCTTTTCTACTGGTCCAGTATCAACTTGTACAG